GGGTCTGATGAAACGGTGGGTGGAGGTGGTCCCGTGGGAGTTGGTACGATCTCCCTGGCTTTAGCTGCCCTGTCCTTGCCCACTGCCCAGAGGACCTGGTTGGCTGGGAGACAGGGATGGGTAGCGCTGGAGGGATGTCGGCCAGCAGCCTGGCCCCCCTCTGCTCAGCCCTCCTGCCCTTTCCTCCAGAGGTGCTTCCAGACCACCAATGGCTACCTGTCCGACTCCAGGTCCTGCTCCAGCAAATACAACGTGGCAGCCCTGGCCACCTCGTCCCTTGTGGGTAGGTTCCGGCTGCCCCTCTCCCGCCCGTGGAGACCGCACGGTCCCACTCTAGACCCTGGCAGTGGGAAGGGCACAGCTGCGTTGCAGGTGGGAGGATGGCAACCTTGTTGGATTCTCCGTTTTCTAAATGCCAGACTCCATGCTGGGTTCTGCGGGTCGCAGAGGGACCTGTGGCTCAGGGTTCTGCTTCGCTGCAGGTCAGCATGGTCAGGTTAAACTGCTGGGTTCTCAAGAAGCTCTGAGGGGGTTGGCCAGAGTTTTTCAAATGTCTGCCTAGGGTGGTCTCCCTGCCTCTCTGCCAGTCACATCACCTTAGGTTAGGTTCCCTGGAAGCAGAGCCTGGCATGGGCATGACTGTGCAGGTGATTCCCTGGAGACTGGCCTTCAAGAGAAGCCAGCAGGCAACGGGGGAGGCCTCGGCAGGATTCTAGCTCTGCCCACCGGGTCTCACCGGGAGCTTGGGAGCATGCATGACACCCCCAAATTGACAGCAAGCCAAGGCGAGGGGCCGGACTTTATATTCCCCCATAGTGACTCACTGCCTGCCCCGGGGAGGACTCTGCAGCTTCCTAGGCATCTCTAGGTGAGGAGGCTCCCGGGAGCTCAGGGCAGTTCTCCAGATAAGGGCGTGAGCTCACAGCAGCAGCGCCTGAAGCAGCTGGCCCTGGGCTCCCAGGCTAGTAGAGAGGGTTTTGATGGCCACCACGGCATCAGGTGGCCCCGGCCCTAAATCCCACCCAGCTCCCCTGGGACCCCTGGGGCCCTCCTTCCCGAATTGTCCTGTGTCTTTCCTCCAGCCAAGGACCTTCCTCTGCCTCACTTGCCCTTCAAGGGCCACTTGAACCCCAACCGCCTCCAGGACACCCTCTCCAACGGCCAACACTCCCCACTTGGTGGGAGGGAGAGTCTCCCCTTTTCTCCACACCCCCGTCTTTCCCGTGTTCCCCACTTTAATTACCTTCGTGCGTACTTCTGCCTCCTTAAATATCGCCATTCCTCGCGCCATGGCTTCGGGGACCTGGGTGACTCTCAGATCTGTTCTCAGCCTTGGTTCATGGCAGTGCCCTCTTCATCCAGCAGCTCTACTACTAAAGCCCTGACCCCTCCTCTCCGTCTGCCCAGCCCTCACCTTGTTTCTCGTCGGGTCCCTGCGGTAGCCCCTAATCCTCCAACTGGAGCACTTTGTAAACAGGAGTGCCAGCTGGTCACTCTCATGCTCATTACCCTGCTGTGGCTCCCCACTGCACAAGGAGAACATCTGAGCCCTGCACCTGGTTCTCTCCAAACCTGTCCTGGCCTTGATCAGCTCCCAACATCTCCTGCCGCCCAGTCCGAGTGTGGACCTCATGTCTCACCCCGGCTAGTCCTGGACTCATGCCAGACTCTCTCATGCCTTCATCTTCTTCTCATCTCTGAAAAAGTCTCCCATCTTGCCTTTATCTTTCTATATCCAACCCAACTTCAAATTCCAATCCCAGGTCTCCTCTTCCAGGAAGCCTTCCCTGCCTGATCCACCCACCCAGGTCTCACCTTCAGCAGAGCTGGCACGGCCACAGAGACTTTCTTTCAGAATGTGTTTAAAGGATCCTGGAGAAAGCTGGGGGATCATGAGTGGTCCTTGGGTGGATCCCCTTGGGCGGAAGGGTCTGAACTTGATCAGAAAGGGAGTGAGGGGTGTGGGTGGTTGGGGAAGAAGCACCAGTGGGCAGGAACATGGACTGGGAGTTGGATGCTGGGGGGAAATGTACACACCAGTGGGTGAGGCATGCAGGGGAGGGCTCAGGGCAGGAGTGGGCAGGAGGCGCTGGAGGGCACAAAGAGTTAGATGGGTACAGGCCTTTGGGGAGGTGTGGGGCACTGATGGAGATTGTAGTGCACTGAAAGAATGTCGGGTACAGGCCCCTGGGTGGGCTGAGGCACGGGGGCCAGGTGCTGAGCTAGGGCTTGTGTCAGGACGGTCACCCAGATGCCCTCGGTGCCCCCAGGCGTGGTGCAGAGCATCAAGGACCACATCACAAAGCCCACGGCCATGGCCCGAGGCCGCGTGGCCCACCTCATCGAGTGGAAGGGCTGGAGTGCCCATCGGGCGGGCTGGGAGCTGTCCCCAGCCGAGGACGAACATTACTGCTGCCTCCCGGATGAGCTGCGTGAGGCCCGCTTTGCTGCAGGTCAGCGTGGAGAGGGACCGGCCGGGGCACTGTGGGGGTGAAGCTGGGTCCTTGGGGGGCCCAGATCACTGCATGGGAATTGTCTGGGCAGGAAAAAATAATGGCATGTGGGAGGGGATTCAGTGAGCACTGCCGACCACTGGGGTGTGGATGGGCAGCCCAGAGAGGCCGCCACCCTCCAGCCTGTCCTGGAGCAGCTCCATTGGGCACTGAGGTCGTCCCCACCCGTGCCCCCCTGAGCCAGATCTCGCTGTCCCCTCAGGGGTCGCTGAGCAGTTTGCCATCACGGAGGCCACACTGAGCGCTTGGTCCTCGCTGGACGACGAGGAGCTGCACCCCAAGGACAGCCCCCAGGACATCAGCCAGCTCCAGGGTACAGCCCAGGGAGTCCAGGGTGGGTGGGCAGAGTGGAGCTGAGGCTGGATGCCTGCCCACCAGCAAATGCAGCGTGACCTCGGCCGAGCCCCTTCCTTTTCTCAGCCTAAGTTTCTGCATCTGCAAAATGGGGCAGTGATCCTTGGCCTGCCCATTGCCTGGCAGCACCAAGAGCGTGAAGGAGAGAATGAGCACAGTGGAGGTGGGAATCGGGCGCCTGCCACACTGAGGCTGGGCACGAGGCATCTCACAGAATCCTCACAGCAGCCCTAGGGAGTGGGTCCTGTTGTTCCCATTTTTCTAATTAATGAGGAAACTGAGGCACTCAGGTTCAGAAACTTACTCCAAATGACACAGCTAGAAACGTCAGAGGCAGATCTGAAATTTACCAGCAGGCACAAGCAACCACCTTTCTAGAAGCCCAGGTTACTATTGAGGGCTTCAAGAAGCCTTGGCCCTGGGGGAAGTCTGCACTTAATCCTCCCTGACAGCTGGAGAGGGATGGGGAGGGGACAGAGGTTCAGGGGGAGCCCTGTTACCCCAGTTCTCAGAGAGCACAGGCTGGCTCCAAGCCCACTCTTAACTCCTGTTTACTGCCTCGAGGAGGAACCTGGAGCTCAGAGAGTTTTGGTGACTTGTCGAAGGTCACATGCTCGGCAGTCACACAGTGAGATTTGGAGGCCGGTCGTCTGCCCTTGCCCTCCTTCACACACGCAGAGAGGGCATGGAGCTGGATCTGGGACCCCATTCCTCCCTTACCCTGTTGCTTTTCCAGACCCCGAGAGCGGCTACTTTCCGGACAGCCTTCCTAGCGGCCCCTGGCAGGACGACAGCCTTCAAGCCTTCTCCTCACCCAGCCTCTCCCTTGACAGCTGTCCCTCACCTGAGGAGCCCCTCAGCACTGCTGGCGTCCTGCAGCCCCCAAGCTCAGAGCTGCAGCATCGGCGGCGGCTGCCTGGGACCCAAAGACCCAAGGGTGGGACCCACCTGCCAGGCTCCCTCCGCTCCGTGGACAACGGCTCCCTCTGGGAGGAGGAGGACGAGGTGTTCTATAACTGAGGAGGGGCGGTGCTGGTCCTGCACTGCTCACACCACCATCTCGCCTCCTGGGCAGCCCAGGCACATCTGGACCCCAGGGCCCAGGGCAGGGCATCTCGTCCCCTCCGGTAGGCACAGGGTTGGTGTGGCAGGAATGGGCCAGCGCTTGTGGTGGCCTCTCTGTGCCTCAGCGGACCTGCCCCTGGAAGTGAGAGCCATAATCCCCTCCCCCTTCATTATGTCACTCAGGTGGGCACCTTCCCCTGCAGGGTGTCTGCCCTCAGGGAACTCAAGGACTCTCAGAAACACCAGAGCAGACCGACCCAGAGGAGCCACAGCCAGGCCCCAGGGGGACAGCCAGGGAGAGAACTGGGACCCACTTAGAGCGGGGTCTGGGAACCCTACCTGTACCTGGGGCTCAGGCCCTCCCCACTCCCTCTGTGCATCTGCCCCCCGGCAAAGGCGGGGTGGCCACTTCTGGTAGCTACGCACCCGCTCCCCAGCTCTCCTCACCAGGACATCTGTCCCTGTGGAGTGTCTGTCTGTCCGTCCCTCCCTCTCTGAACCTGCTTCCTCGGTGCTCCCTGCTCCTCGCCCCAGGGAGCCCACTCCCCCTCCTTGCAGCTCCCTCCCATCTCACTCAAGGTTCTCTGAAGACATTAAAGTGGTGGGTTCACCCTGGATGACCTTGGCCTGGTCTCTGCTGGGGAAGATGTGACCTCGGGCCCCTGGGTGGAGACCAGAGGGAGTCAGGGAGGCCCCCTAACCCCAGCACACACACACTGCTGCTACCCAGCCCGAGAGGACCCATGGAGGATGCCCAACGCTCTGTGGACTCCCTGAGGAGCCACACTTGGGGACCCGGCTTTATGAGCTGTGGCTCAGCCAAGCAGGAGACTAGGGCTTGAGCGACACAGGGTCCTGCTTGTCCATGAGGACCAGCATCACAGACCTGGTGGGAGCCCCTCTTTCCCTGGCATCTCCCTGGTAAGAAGTGGAGCATGAGGAGGAGCCCAGGGACCCGAGCCTGCAGTGCCCATGTGGCTGTGGGAAACTCATTCTGGACCAGTGCAGGTGGGGAGGTCACGTCCCAGGCCAGCACCCCTGCAGCTGAGACGAGGGATGGACAGCAGCTCTGGGAACCAGCTTTATTTTTCTCAGGAGCCTCTCACTGGGAATCAGACAACCCCAGAGAGCATCTGTGCCTGCCCTTGGTGACAGCATACCCCAACCTTGTCATTCATTAATGTGATAGTCAGTCACTGAGCACCTGCCAGATACTGGTTTTCTGGCATCTCACGCTCTGAGCTCTGTCCAAGGTGGGATGTGCTTTTCAATCAGGAGCCATCGTTTCTTCCAGGATGAGCCATCCTCTTCCGGGCTAGGTTAGAGCTGCCTCTTATGCCAAGGAAATGGAGCTGGGCTGGAGGGAGGTGTGGGTGGTGATGGGGGAAGACAGCAGGGTCTCGGCCCAACCACAGCACCAGGGCGGCCGGGGTGCTGTGGGCATCTTGCTGGGCCGGCTCACTGTGGGGCTGGTGGATTTGTCAGGTTGGAAATTGCTTTCTTCATCTAGAACAGAGCAAGAGGGTGGGGGTTGGGGGGATGTAGAGGAGGTTGAGAGGGGGGCTCCAGCATTTTTAGTTCCCCTAAGGATTGTTTCTGGGCTGAATAGCAGAGCCCGTGCCACCCCACTGCACAGATGGGATCATCAAGGCTCAGAGAGGGGCAGGCTGGCCACTGGCCAGAAAACAAGATAGGGAGGGCTAGGCCCAGTGGCCAGCCTAGGCCAGGAAGAGGGGCTCATCAGTATCCTCTGAACCCCCCAGGTTTGGATGGGAGCATGCTGGTGTCCCCCCACCTCCCCAGCCTTCTCAGTATGGGTCCCCTGCTTTGCTCTGCCCTGGAGACCCTGGTACCTCTACCCAGGACACGCAGCCCACAGCTCTGCCCCGCGATGTCACAAAGAGGGACTGAAGGTTCAACAGCTCAAAGAGGTTGTGTGCCTGGAGGAGGGATTGTTAGGAAATGCTGGAGGGTAGAAGGCGTCCAGCCCGCCTTCTGGCCACCTTCCTGCCCACGCCTCTGAGCCAGGAAGAGGGGCCGGGCTTGATGTGGGTGGGAGACCAGAGACCCAGGTCTGCAATGTCCAGTGTGGCCACTGGGGGATGCCAGAGTCCAAGCAAGAGGCTGGGTGGGCAGCAGGTGGGCAGGACCCAATATCCAGCACCCTCCAGCAGCACAGAGTGGGCAGTGCCATCTCCAGGTCCCTTGCCAACCTCTGCCCCTCCCCCACCCATGAGTCAGGCTCTGTCCCCAGTGGCTGCGTCATTTGTCCAAGATCACACCGAGAAAATGTGCTGGACCTAAACTGAAATGCACGTGTGCCTTGGTGCCACCCCTTTGTCTCCACTCGGAGACTTCCCTTTGCCAAGCCCCCCACTTCTCTTTTCTCTTCTCTCTGCCCATCCCCACAATCCTGGCAGTGAGGGGCAACAGCTCGGGAGCTGCCCTGTCCGGCGTGCCGGTGAGGACACAGACCCAGGAGGGGCAGGGGGCAGCATAAGGCAGGTGGGCAGGGCGGGGGTGGGACTGGGAGGCTGTAGCCTGAGCGCCTTATCAGCTCTTCCCCCACACGGGGGCCTCACATGTCGCACTCCCTAACTCTCCTGTTACCTCATGCAGGGAGGTCTCTGGGGACAGCTTCAGGGTCACTGGTTCCGTGGGGCAGCCCCCAGCCAAGATGTCCTGGAGACGCTGCCAGGGGTGGGGAAGGGTCACGGGTGCAGAGCCAGCACCCCCAGGCTGCCTCTCTCAGACCACCTCTCCCTCAGATCAGCGGGCCCCTCCCCTCCCAGCCCGTGCCGGCCAACCCCCGCCCCATCCCCACGGCCCTCAGGAGTACCCACCTGCTCTCCTGGAGCCCAGGAAAGAGGCTCAGCCTGGAGGGCCTGCACCAGCTGGGGCCTTCGCACGATGCCCACCAGGATCTGGGACTCTGACAGGTGGAGAGGGAGAGGGAGGGAGGCGCGTTACAAAGAACCCGGGACTCACATTGACTTAGCACCTACTTAGCCAAGAACTGTGTTGGGTGTTCCTATGGGGCTATTGTAACTATTGTCACCCTTTATAAAGGACAGGAAACAGGCTCAGCAGCACAGAGAGGTTCGTTGTCTTGCCCATGGACATTCAGCTTCTGATGTAGAGGTGTGGTAGCTGAGGGTGGCTGAGAGGCTGCCAGGGGGCCAGCAGGGACCCTGGCCACCACTGAGATTCCCCACTTTGCAGGTCATCAAGACTGGAGCAAGCTGGGGACGCTGGCACGGTGACGTCTGTGTGTCAGGGCTGGGCTCTCTCCTTCATTTCCCAAGAGGTTTCACATTTGGCGCAGCCCAGTGAAAGTGTGAGCCCAGGAGGCCACCGTGTTCTGAGGCCCTACTGTGTGCTGGGAGCCTTGGCAAGCTTCACTCTGGCCCTGGGGTATCACTGGCATTGTCAGATATTTAGCTTTGAGGGCCCAGCTTAGTGTTTTTGCTTTCTGTTGAGTAGAATAAAAACTTGACACCCAGACATATACATGTCCCCCTACCCTTTATTTTTCTTTTCTTTTTTTGGTTATCTCCTCAAGTTAAAAGACTTTTTTGAGACAGAGTCTCACTCTGTTGCCCAGGCTGGAGTGCAGTGGCACGATCTCGGCTCACTGCAACCTCTGCCTCCCGAGTAGCTGGGACTACAGGTGCAGGCCACCACGCCCAGCTAATTTTTTGTTTTTAGTAGAAATGGGGTTTCACCATGTTAGCCAGGATGGTCTCGGTCACCTGACCTTGTGATCTGCCTGCCTTGGCCTCCCCAAACGCTAGGATTACAGACATGAGCTCCCTCCCCTCTTTAAAATGAACAATGGCCGGGCGAGGTGGTTCACACCTGTAATCCCAGCACTTTGGGAGGCCGAGGCGGGTGGATCACAAGGTTGAGAGATCGGGACCATCCTGGTCAACATGGCGAAACCCCATCTCTACTAAAAATACAAAACATTAGCTGGGCATGGTGGCGCGTGCCTGCAATCCCAGCTACTCAGGAGGCTGAGGCAGGAGAATTGCCTGAACCCGGGAGGCGGAGGTTGCGGTGAGCCGAGATCGCGCCATTGCACTCCAGCCTGGGTAACAAGAGCGAAACTCCATCTCAAAAAAATAAAAAATAAAAAATAAAAAAATAAAATAAAAATAAAATGAACAATGAGGCTATTTCTTGGGTGAGCAGTGGGGCCTCACAGCCTGGCCTGTGTTGGTTGAAGCACTTTGCTGTGGCTCTAAGGGTGAAAGAAGACTTTGTCTTAGAGGCTCATTCTTCCTTTGCTCCAGGAGGTGAAGCCTCTTGTGGGGGTCATCGCAACGCAAACATTTTCAGATGAGATATTTGGCATGTTCCACGGTGTGATGTTAACAGTCTTCCAATTAGTGGGAAAAAAAGGGCCCAGCATTTGGGGTGAGAAGTCTGACCTATACTCTCTTGAGTCCTACTTTCCTGACGATGAAAATGCAGTACGTAGAGCTTCAGTGGAATATTCACAATTCTTTAGCTCATACGTGGATCTGTCCCTCTGGGGGTGGGCCTAGGGGTGACCCATATGGTTGTACAGGTTGTTCACTGCACAAGGTGCCTGCCCAAAGTGCAAGTGGAGACCAAAATCCAGCTGTGCTGTGCTTGCCAGGTGTGCACCTTGTCTCATTTGCACAGGGAGACGCGCGGCTGACAGTGGCCTGGAGTGGACAGGGCTCCCCCCCAACCCCGCCTTGTCTTCTGGATGCAGATACGGGACTTGTCCCCACAGGAAATGATGCTCTAGTAAAGGTCTCCCCAAGCACTGGGTTCCATTGCTTTTAACAAGGGCCGCCACGCTTTTGTCTTTAAGGAGACGTTTTCCTCGTGGCAACAGGGATTTGGGGGAGGGGCCTCATCTGGGAAACGCTTGAAGGGAGGCCTGAAGGGAAGCTTCTGAAAGACCCTGGTGGTATCCCCAATCTCTTACTCCAGCAGCTGCCCAGAGGCTGCCTTACAAGCACCCGGCCGTCTCTCTTTAGACAGGTCAATCACCCCAAGGGAGGAAGGCCATGATCTCCATTTTGCTGATGAGGAAACTGAGGCTCAGGCAAAGTGACTTGCCCAAGGTCACACGGTTGGTTGCTAAGCCACAGAGCCTGGATGCAGATCCTGTCTGCCTGGCAGGTCCAAGCAGGAGGCAGAGGGCATCCCCCACCCCACCCCCTGACTTCCTCCCCCATCTGGCTGGCACCTGTGCTCTCCACCAGGGGATACTCGGCTGTGTCTGTGGAGGTCACGACCTTGACCACCTCCTCCAGCGGCATGTCCTTGGCCAGCGTGGTGACGCTGTGGTTCATGAAGTGTTCCACCCTCACACAGTGGGAGCTGCGGGCAGAGGGGCTCCCATCAGGTCCCAGAGTCAGGGATGTCAGACCCAGGCTGGGCAGGGGCATCTCGGGGGAGCTTTGTTGGAACCAGGGACTCATGGCTCTGGAGTGTGGGCAGAGCCGGAGAGGTTCCTGGAATGAGGGACGCCTAGAACCCACGGTGGGAGGAAATCCTGGAGACCACATCCCTGATGGCCCAGTTCGGAATCCCCACCCCCTCCCATGCCAGCATGTCCTCTCCTGTCAGTTCACTTTGGCCTTTTTTACCCAGCAGCCTTCTCCGGAGAATTTCATTTGAATAAAAAGTATATGTGGCTGGGCATGTACTGACTAATGCCTGTAATCCCAGCACTCTGGGAGGCCAAAGCAGGTGGATCACTTGCGGCCAGGAGTTCGAGACCAGCCTGGCCAATATGGTGAAACCTCATCTCTACTAAAAATATAAACAATCCGAGTATGGAGGCACGTGCCTCGTCTGAGCTACCTGGGAAGCTGAGGCAGGAGAATTGCTTGAATCTGGGAGGTGGAGGTTGCAGTGACTGAGATTGTGCCACTGCACTTCAGCCTGTGTGACATGGCAAGAGAGACTCTAGCTCAAAAAAAAAAAAAAAAAAAAAAAAAAAAGTATATCCTTCCTCCAGGGTAAAAACTTGAAGGTTTGGAAACCTCTGGGGTGACAGCCCCATTTTACAGAGAAACAGGTTCAGAGCAAGGCTGCAGCTCGCTCATGTTTGGGATGGGGCCTTGGACCCAGTGACTCTCAGAGCCTCTTTGGTCTGCTTCTCTGGCGCCAGAATCTGCTCTGGTCCGATACGTCTGGTGGAGTGAGGACCTCAAAACCCATTTCCGTTCTTGTTCCACTTCCTGCTCCTGAACTCCCAGGGAAGGCAGCAGAAGTGGGGAGAGGGGAGGACACCCAGCTCTGGTGCTGGAGCAGGACACAGCCCCTCTCTGAGCCCCGGCTTCTTCACCCTGCACACGGGGCGGTATTCATCATCCTGCTGTGAGGACCAGCTGACCACAAGACAGACACAGAGGCCTGAAGCCCGAGGCCTTGCCCATGGTCACCCGGGGCACTGGGGAGAGTGGAGACCAGAGCACAACGGGTGTCAGCCCCTCCCAGCCCCCACGTCCAAGGTCAGCTGCGGTGGTGTTTCTTTTCTTTCTTTCGTTTTTTTTTTTTTTAGATGGCGTTACGCTCTTGTTACCCAGGCTGGAGTGCAATGGCGTGATCTCGGCTCACAGCAACCTCCGTCTCCTGGGCTCAGGCAATTCTCCTGCCTCAGCCTCCTGAGTAGCTGGGATTACAGGCACGCGCCACCACGCCCAGCTAATTTTTTGTATTTTTAGTAGAGACGGGGTTTCACCATGTTGACCAGGATGGTCTCGATCTCTTGACCTCGTGATCCACCCACCTCGGCCTCCCAAAGTGCTGGGATTACAGGCGTGAGCCACCGCGCCCGGCTCTTTTCTTTCTTTCTTTCTTTTTTTTTTTTTTTTTGAGATGGTGTTTCCCTCTTGCTGCCCAGGCTGGAGTGCAATGATGTGATCTCGGCTCACTGCAACTTCCACCTCCTGGGTTCAAGTGATTCTCCTGCCTCAGCATCCCAAGTAGCTGGGATTACAAGTGTATGCCAGCACACCTGGCTAATTTTTGTATTTTTAGTAGAGAAAGGCTTTCACCATGTTGGCCAGGAGGGCCTTGATCTCTTGACCTCATAAGCTGCCTGCCTTGACCTCCCAAAGTGCTGGGATTACAGGCGTAACCCAGCGCGCCCGGCCTGCGGTGGTGTTTCTTTTTAGAGGTGCCCTCCACCCCCGACCCTGCCCAGTCACTGTGACCCTTTCAGCCAGCCTGAGGTGGGCGCTGCTCACCGGATCTTGCGGCCCAGAATCCGTGGCAGGTATGGCAGCTTCTTGACGATGATGGTGCCATCGTAGAAAGAGGGCTGGCAGCTCTGTGCAATGGCATTGGCTGCCAGCACTGCCATCAGCACGGGCAACGAATGCACTATCTGGCCGGTCATCTCAAAGGCCAGCAGCGCCGTGGAGATGGTGTGGGTCACAGCCCCTGAGAAGGCTGCAGCCCCTGTGGGGGCAGAGTCAGGCAGGGCAGCTCAGGCCAGGGGCCAGCCTCACGTGAGGGCAAGGCTGGCACAGCTGCAGCCAGGGTCCAGGCAACAGGCTGGGCACTGTGGGAAGTGCCCCAAGGCCTGAGCTTGATGAGAAAGAGGGATAAGGGAGGCCACAGGGCATGGGGGACAGGACAGAAGCCCTGAGGGAGAGATGGGACCTGGAGAATGGTGGGGCTCAGGAGAGACAGGCCCCCATGAGGGATGGGGACTCACTGGGAGGCTGGGGGCCTGCTCCGTGCCCTGTGGAACCACTGGTTGGTTCTCCAGATCCAGCCCAGACCCACGACGTTGCCCACCCAAAAGGCCCCTGACGCACTCACCTGCCAGGGCATACCCCCCGGGCATGATGGGATTGGTGACCCCTCCAGCCACTATGCCCTCAGGAAAAATGAAAGAGACAGTCTCCCCAAAGAGGCGCCCGATGGCAGCTCCTGACCACAGACTTAGGGTGAGGGGGAGCCAGGCTGACCCGGCCCCCACTGCCCTCCATCCCTGAGGACCATCCTCAGTACCACCCCAGAAAAGGGTGAACCAGGAGCCATAGCCCTGCCCCAAGAACCCCAAAACTCTCAGAACCTCAGGGCTCCAGACTCACCGAAGACAAAGACGGGCATGAAGTACCCGGCAGGCATGGGGATGGTGGTGGCCAGAATCAGCATCCAGAACTGTGGGAGCGGGGAGACCAGGGCAGAACTTAGAGGCTGCTGGGCAAGGCGTGGACAAGGGAGGACAGGACAGGGGACAGGGGCGCATCCTAGAAAGAAAGAGTGTGCCCGGCCATATGCCCATTGCCAGCGTCTGGCATTAGGGGAGGGTCCTCACCCTGAGAAATGCCCACTGTGTGCCTGGCACTGTGCCAGGTATGTTCCTTTTTCCCTCCTCAGCCTTCCCAGTAACCACCCCATTTTAAAGATGGGAAGACTGAGTCCCAGAGAGCTGAAGCCACTTGCCCTGGACCATGTGGGGAGCAGGGGGCACATCATGAAGTATGGGTGGGAGGCCTGGGCTCCATGCCACCAACTGCGGGAAGGTACCCCCCTCCCCACCAAAGCTGATCCTGGCTCTGTGCACCTGTGGGGACCCGGGGGGCCCACCTTCATAACCAGGAAGAAGGCAAGGGTCCCAAAGATGGTGAACCTCGGGTGGTACCATTCCCACCACAGGTGCTGGGGGTCAAGCTCCTCAGGCCAGGGTGGGCTGGAGTTCCGGGTCATCAGCACCCAGGAGTGGTTGTCGAACAGTGAGTCCAGATGCTGCTGCATGGACAGCTGGGGTGGGGCAGGTGGGAACTGGACGTGAGGGGCCCGAGTGGCAGACTCCATCCACCCGTGCACCACCTGACCCCGCCTGGAATTCTCCTCTGCCACTTCCCAGCAGGGGCCTTAGGCCCGAAGCTGTAGTCTCATCCGTAAAATAATGCCCAGGCAGCTCCTCTATGGGGTATTGGGGGGAACTACATGAGATACACGCAAAGCGGGCAACAAATAGGGCTTCCCCACTCCTGCCGCTCCAGCTCAGGGCCCCTTACCCGAGAACCCAGGAAGCGGCCCAGGCCAGGCGGGTAGGTGATGGAGGCGAGAACCAGGGCGGCCAGGGCGGAGTACACAGGCTTGCTGTGGGGTGTGGGTGAGCTCCGGGGCTGGCCCTCCCTTTCCCCCATCCGGAGGAGAGGGCAGCAGGGCCTCGCCCAGGCAGGACCGCAAGGCAAGGACCAGGGAGGAAGAACAGTGGGAACGGAAGACGTGGGCTGGGCCCGCTCCAGGGGACAGACCCTGTGGGTCAGCCCCACACTCCTGGGTATTTTTAGGGGTAGAGGCTGATAGGAGAATTGGGTCACAGGCAGGCTGGGAGGGAGGATAGAGTGGGGCCAGGCCAGGGCGGGGCTCATGCGCCTAGGGCAGGAGGGCTCAGCCAACATAAGGTTGGGGGTACACAGTGGGTGGGCTCGCTGAGAGGTCCCCAGCCCCTAGTCCGGAGCCTACCTAGTGACCATGAGCTTGGAGCTGAACCGATTGTTCTTGATGAAACCAAGGAAGACTCGCTGGCAGAAGAGGTAAGCGCAGCTCACGATGCCGCAGATACCCCTGGGGAGCATGGAGCCATGAGTCCAGAGCCCAACCCCAGAACCAGAGGTCCAGTCCGTACCTGGCGGATGCCATGTTGGACTCGCAGGGGCCCAAGGTTCCCACTCACCCCAGTGCCACAAAAAAGAAGATCTCTGGCAGGTCGAAGGGGACTTCCACCCGAAAACTGGTCTTGAAGAGGGAGGTGATGGTCTCTGGGGAAGGAGGGCAGTGGGGAGTCTAGATGGCGCTCCAACCCCACCCAAACCCAAGTCCCAGGATAACAGACCAGGGTGGAGGGGTTCTAGGTCCTGACCCTGAATCTGTTTCCTGGCATTCGAGGCCCCCACAATCAGGCTCCTGCCTCCCTGTCCAGCCTCGCCCCCTTCTACCCTCAGGGCCCTGCCCTTCATGCCTGACAGGGGTCAGCCCCTCCATCCTCCCAGAAGGAGGTGGAAACAGGAAGGAGGGAAATGAGGGGGCGGAGAGAGAAGGGAAGAGCAAGGAGTGTATACAGGGGAAGAAGGGGGGACCCTTGCCCCAGCCCCCAGGCAGGGCCAGGGTCAGGCAGCCCAGGGGGCTCACCCTGCTCGCTGTTGAAGACCGCCAGGAGTCGGAACATGAAAGCCCCGCAGGTGGCTGCAAAGAAGCCCCTCCAGTAATCCCAGACAGAGAAGTGGGAAGACATGACCTCGATGCTGAACAGGACGCCTGGGGGCGACACTGATCTCAGGTGGGCGCCCCCACCCCCACCCCCACCTCCACCCACCTGCGGCTGTGGAGCGCTCTCTCCATATTACCTCCTCCCTGACCCATCTGTCCTGCTCCCCTGCAGCCTGGACAGGGACAGACAGGAGGGGAGGGCAGGGCATGCGCCCTGGGTGGGGAGGACCCCGCTGCCCAGGGACCCGTCCAGCCTGGAATGCAGGTGTGCGCCCTCTCACTACCGGGCGGGGACAGTTGCGATCCCCATTTTACCGAGGAGGAAGCCGGCTCAGAGAGGCCAACGGGCCAGGATCACACGTGGATTTCAAACCCACGTCTCTCTATTGTCACCCTGAAGCCTCTCAGCACCGCCCAATCACGTCCCCTCCCCCCCCAACCCCCACGTCCCTGGGGGTGGCTGTCCCCAAGGCAGGGCTGAAGTAAGAACTGGAATGAGCCCCGCCCCCTCCTCCAGGCTCTCTGCGGGACTGAGGGAGCCCAGGGTGTGAGGGGAGGAGCGTGAGGGACCCAGGGGGCGGGGCACGAGGGGTCTCACCGCTGAACGGAGCTGCGAAGACTGTGGCCACGCCCACTGCCGCCGCGGCCGCCAGCATTTCGGTTTGCTTGCTCTTGTTCTAGCGGGATCCGAGTCCAGGGCTCAGCGTCAGCCCCTCGCTCCCCACACCCATTCCTCCGAGGAAGCTCCCCAGCCCCTAACCTCAGGCTCCCCGCTGATCGCTGTGCGCACACGGCCCAGATAGGCCGCCATCATCACAGACAGGTGCACGAAGGGACCCTGCAGAGGGAGGGGTGAGCCCAGGGCCCAGGTGAGGGCAGCAGAAGAGCCTCACCCAGAGGCCACCGCAAGGCTTCCCCACCACGCCCTCTCCTCCATCTCCCCAACCCCCAGGGCTGTCCTCAGGTGGCTTTTGTCACGCTCTGGGGACCTGGCCTGCCTCTTCCCCCAAGACTGAGCTCCCTGAAGGCAGGGCCCAGCCCAAGTCCCTCTGATCCAGCTTTGGTGGTGATGGGGGAGAGGATAGGTTCAGGGTGGGGTGGGCGGGGTGGTTGGGGTGCCCTCATGCCTGCCCATACCACTTTGCCCAGGAAGACAGTGCTGCCACAGGCCAGGGTGCAGGAGAGGCCCACCACCTTGGCCCCAAAGTTCTTAATATCCAGGTAGTCCTCCAGGATCACACCCGACAAGATGGTCTTCAGCTCTGGAATTCCAGAACCTTAGCGGAAGGAGGACAGGAATGAGACGGGGACAATCTCTAGATTAAAACTCTCAACACTCTACATTACAGTCTTGCCAGATCAGGAGAACCCTCTCAAGTTAGGATTATTTTCCTTTGGGGACAGGGTCTGGCTCTGTTGGCCACGCTGGAGTACAGTGGCAGGATCATAGCTCACTGCAGCCTCAGATGCCAGGGCTCAAGTTATCCTCCCAAGTCAGCCTCCTGAATAGCTGGGACTACAGGCGGAGACCACTTCACCCAGCTTATTTTTTCAAAAGAAGGAGTCTGGCTATGTTGCCTGGGCTGCTCTAGAACTCTTGACCTCAAGCGATCCGTCTCCTTATGGCTCCGAAAGTGCTGGGATTACAGGCATGAGCCAGTGTGCCCAGCTGGGTTAGGATTCCTGTTTGTTTCAGGCTGGAGTGCATTGGTGAAACACGGCTCACTGAAGGACCAAATTCCCGGCTCAAGCAATTCTCACGCCTCAGCTTCCTGAGTAGCTCCGACCACGGGAACATGCAATCATGCCCAGCTGATTTTTCCTATTTGTTTTAGAGACAGGGTCTCCCTGTGTTGCCCAGCTGGTCTCAAACTCTAGGCACAAATGATCCTCCTGCCTCAACCTTCTAAAGTTCTGGGATTACGGACATGAGTCACTGCACCTGACCCAGGAGAGGATCCTTGAACTCATTTTGCAGATTTGGACACTGAGCGTCACAGAGGGAATGTGAGTTGTTCACGTTCCTCCCCACCAGGCCTGACAGATGGCTCTGGCAGAATGGGGGAAGCCTGGATGAAACCTCAGGCCACTACTGAGTGAGCCTGGAGCTCCCCTCTGCTGGCCTGCAGCTCTCCAGGAGACAGGGCTGAGCGCCCTGCGGGAGCTGTGCCTCCTCCACAGGCCCCTCAAGACACCTAGCACAGGCCCCACAGGGGAATCTCTTTCCAAGGAGCCCTTGGAAAGTGGGTAGGGCCAGCAGTGACCCAAGAGTCAAGATCTGGCCTTCTTGCTGTGTGCTTTTGGACAAGCCACACGACCCTTTCTTCTGGGCCTTCGTCTGTAAAATGAGGCTGCCGCTTCCCGACTCCCCCCATCAGAAGCCCCCTGGGATCTGAGAAGGTTTTGGCCAGTGGGGACTGGCATGGTGACCGTGTACTCACCTCCAGAGGAGGGCGTGATGCTCTGGGAGAAGCCCGAGGAGAAAGAGACGAGGGCCACAGGGTACACGGTCCAGGAGAGATACCGGAGCAGGTGACCGTCCCCAATCTCCCGGTACAGCCACTGGTGTGCTGGGGACAGCTGGGTATCAGGAGGCCACCCACAGCCTCTGCAGCCCTCGGGACCAACACTGTGGTGCCCACTTACTGACCAGGAAATGGAGGCACAGAGAGGGGAGGACCAGGACACCTAGTGAGGGGCAGACCCCCGAGAGGAGGCACGAGTACAACCCTGGGTCCGTATCCCGGGTTTACCACTTCCTAGCTGAGTGACCTTGGGCAACCACTCAAGCTCTCTGAGCCTCAGTTTCCCCATCTGTCCAGTGGGCTAGTGATTGGGCTCTCTCTCACAGGCTCACTGTAGACTAAAGAGAGCCACTGAGAACTAAATGACACAGGTGTGAAGCTCCAACCACCACAGTAGGTCCTGCTTCAGGCAGCCAAGGGCGTCTCCAGAGCAAGCGTCTTAGACCCTTCCTGCCCACACCCACTCTTCCAGGCAGGCCTCAGGGTGGAGGCAGGCTGCTGAGGAATGGGGGGGAAGGCTCCAGGTTTGGTGATCTAGGCAAGTCCCCCCACTCCTGCCCCAGGGCACAGAGGAGGGAAGGAGAAGGAATGGGGTGGCTGGAAGAGGAGACAGAGAGCTCAGAGGAGGAAGGGCTGTGGGGAACATTCAGGCCTCTCTCCCTTGTGCAAATGAGATGACTGAGGCCCAGAGAGGGGCAGGAGTCTGCCCAGGGTCACACAGCAAGTCAGGAGTAAGGCCAGGACCGGATCCCCACCCAGAGCCCTCTCCCCACCTCCGCTGCACCTGGTGACATCCATCTGGCATCCCCAGAGTGAGCTCAGAATCCCTTGGCCCAGGACAGCACCTGCCTTGGAGAGGTTACCTCGGACCACACTCCTGACAGCGAAGTCCATGGCGTAGCTGACCATGGCCATGAGCACCCCGAGGGCCAGCAGGAAGTACCAGTCCTCGCCCAGGCGGAACAGCTTCTGCTTCAGCCACGCCAGGCCTCCTGGGGCAGGGCATAGGGGTCGTGGCCCAGGGTGGGGCAGGGTACACAGACAGTCTCTTCCTTGGAGGCCTGCTGGTCTCCAGGCAGGGAGACTGGGGCAGAATGGGTAGAGCTTGGTGATGGAGTCTGGGGTAGTTCTGAGGGGGCCCTTCCTCACACGGGGCTGGGCGGGATTTGTGGAGGGTGACAATCATGACACAGTGGGTGCCAGGACTGCTGCCCCTGCCGGAAAGCCTTTGACCTGTCCACCCTCTACATCCCTGCATCTACTGGGGGCCCCTGGTGGACAGGGAGTGCGGAGGGGGCTGGCAGCTACGCTTTCACCCGAATTCCCTGCAGGGTCCGTAGCTTAGAGAGCTCCAGGGTCCAGCAGACTCCTGCATGTCCCAGGACCTGTGGCACCAGGTATCCTCTGGGTCCCCAGCAATGCCCCTGGCCCACTGGCTGCCAGCCCAGCCTGGGAGCTGGCCATCACTGACTGTGGGCACCAGCCCCTGGGGCTGCACTTAGCTTCCTTCTGGGGTCCCTGCCTGCTCTGCCCCATAGCTGAGGGGCTCTGAGCAAAGGTGCCAAGTGCAGGCTGCCCCAGCCCCCTGCTGTACCCCAGCTGTCCCCGCAGCTGACCCTTGGAGCCCCTCATTGGCACAGGTAGGTGAAGGAGAGGCCTAGAAGAAGGGTGGGCACAGTGACCAGGCCTCAGGCTGTATCTCTCAAAAGGCAGAGGGGGCCGGGCGCGGTGGCTCAAGCCTGTAATCCCAGCACTTTGGGAGGCCGAGGTAGGTGGATCACGAGGTCGAGAGATCGAGACCATCCTGGTGAACATGGTGAAACCCCATCTCTACTAAAAATACAAAACATTAGCTGGGCATGGTGGCACGTGCCTGCAATGCCAGCTACTCAGGAGGCTGAGGCAGGAGAATTGCCTGAACCCAGGAGGCGGTGGTTGTGGTGAGCCGAGATCGTGCCATTGCACTCCAGCCTGGGTAACAAGAGCGAAACTCCGTCTCAAAAAAAACAAAAAAACAAAAAACACAAAAAATTAGCTGGGCATGGTGGCAGGTGCCTGTAATCCCAGCTACCCAGGAGGCTGAGGCAGGAGAATTGCCTGAACCCAGGAGGCGGAGATTGCGGTGAGCCGAGATCACGCCGTTGCACTCCAGCCTGGGTAACAAGAGCGAAACTCCGTCTCAAAAAAAAAAAGGCGGAGGGCAGATGCCAGGCCCATCTGACCCACAGACAGCTGAACAGACAGACCCCTTCCCTCCCTACACCCAGGAGACTCTCGGCCGTGATGTCCTGGACAAAGGCCAGGAGGAGGGTGGCTCCTGGGCAGGGAGGTGGCGTGGGAGCTGGGCAGGGGCATGTCCTGAGGGGTCCGCCACGGGGAGGGGAAGGGAACCTGGATCTCACCGCGGATGCCTCGGCGGATGCGGGGACATGGGCCCCATAGCTCCCACAGAGTTACAGGGTCCCCTGAGGAGCCCTCGCGCAGCCCCACCAGTTCCTCCATCAGGTCCTGGGGAAGCAGATAGAGGCAGGGACCCGGGTGAGCCGCTCTGGATAGAGGCAGGGACCCGGGTGAGCCGCTCTGGATAGAGGCAGGGACCCGGGTGAGCCGCTCTGGATAGAGGCAGGGACCCGGGTGAGCCGCTCTGGATAGAGGCAGGGACCCGGGTGAGCCGCTCTGGATAGAGGCAGGGACCCGGGTGAGCCGCTCTGGATAGAGGCAGGGACCCGGGTGAGCCGCTCTGGATAGAGGCAGGGACCCGGGTGAGCCGCTCTGGATAGAGGCAGGGACCCGGGTGAGCCGCTCTGGATAGAGGGAGAGACCCGGGTAAGCTGCCCCACATCCTCTCGCTGCCTCTCAGCCCTTCCGGGGCTCTCCCTCCCAAATGAAGAGGAAGGATTGGGCTTTCGCGGGTGTGTGTGTGTGTGTGTGTGTGTGTGTGATCACACTAGGTCTGCGTGTGCCCTCATCCCTCAGGTTCTGTCACTGAGGGTGTGCCCCTGTGTGTGTCATTGTGTGGGATGGGGGTGGGATTCCTAGGTGTCCCCCGTATCCAGCAGCCGAGTGGGCACAGGCTGGAGCCCAAGCCCTGCTCAGAGCCTTCCCCTTCTGTGGCCACGCTCGCACCCTTCTGGATCGCTTGGCGCTTCCACTGCTGGAAGCAGTGTCTGACCATGGCTGTGACTCTCTCCCTGCAGAGTCCCAGGGATGGCTCTGACTCTCCCTGTCCACTCCTGAGCACTCCTCACCCCAGCTCAGGCCACAGAGGCAGGAAAACCCCAGGCCCAGAATGAGACCCCTCCAGGACCAAAGTGAGGTGTTGGCTCCTGCCCTCACCACCCCCTCCTCCCTGCCTGCCTAGCCCTGGCAAGCCCCAGCTCCTTGCAGCCACCCCTCACCTGTCAGTCCTGCTGTGGCTGAGCTGACCCTCTTCTCACAGAGCCTCCAGCTCCCCTGCACCTGGACAGGTGTGTGTTCCAACAATCAACAGCCTCCCCCCCTTTCCTGCCTGGGCCCAGAGTTTATGGCAAACACTTCAAATGTCCTTGAAAACCAACCAGAACTGCCCAGGAGCAGAGCAGAGCAGAGCCGCCAAGAGAGAGGGGGCAGTAGCTTCCCCACCCACCAGAGCCACACAGAGGGTGGTGCCCAGGCTGCACTCAGGCTCCCGGGGTGTTGCTGGGCAGGGAGGGGAGCTCACGCACACAGCAGGACAGCGAGGGGTCATCTGCCCGAGCTGAGGCTCAAGGCCCAGGGGACTCAGAGCTGGACATGGAAGGTTTGGAAAAGCACAGAGGGAGATGGAGGAGGCTGGGCAGGGAAGGCAAGGACAGGCCGGCAAAGGTGAGTGGGGCAGCACGATGGCACCCTCCCTGTGTGCCAGGCACACAGCCTTCCCCAGATTAATCACCGTAAGTGCCCACGGAAACCCCATGAGGCAGGCAGGGTGATCCTGTTATAATGGCGTCTCAGGGAGGCGAGGCTGCCTGTCCAAGATCACAGAGGCTGAGGCACAGCCAGGCTCCCAGCCAGGGTTGCCTAGGGTCAACCATTCCCCACTCACCCAGTTGCTTTTCCAGACCTGGAGAGTAGCTACCTTCAGGACAGCCTGCCCAGCGACTCTTGCAAGATGACAGTCTTCAGGCCTTCTCGCCCTGGCTTCTCCTCCAGCTGCTGGCCCTCTTCCGAGGAGCCCCCCCAGCACCGCTGCCATCCCGCAGCCCCCAGCCCAGAGCTGCAGCATCGGCGGTGGCTGCCTGGGACCCAAAGACCCAAGGGTGGGACCCACCTGCCAGGCTCCCTCCCCTCCGTGGACAATGGCTCCCTCTGGGAGGAGGAGGACGAGGTGTTCTATAACTGAGGAGGGGCGGTGCTGGTCCTGCACTGCTCACACCACCATCTCGCCTCATGGGCAGCCCAGCCATATCTGGACCCCAGGGCCCAGGGCAGGGCATCTCTTGTCCCCTCGGGTAGGCACAGGGTCGGTGTGGCAGGGATGGGGCCAGCGCTCATGGTGGCCTCTCTGTGCCTCAGCGGACCTGCCCCTGGCAGTGGGAGCCATAATCCCTTCCCCTTTCAGTTATGTCACTCAGGGGGGCACCTCCCCCTGCAGGGTGTCTGCCTTCAGGGAACTCAAGGAATCTCAGAGACACCAGGGAAGACCGGCCCAGAGGAGCCACAGCCAGGCCCAGGGGGACAGCCAGGGAGAGAACTGGGACCCACTTAGAGCGGGGTCTGGGAACCCTACCTGTACCTGGGGCTCAGGCCCTCCCCACTCCCTCTGTGCATCTGCCTCCCAGCAAAGGCGGGGTGGCCACTTCTGGTAGCTACGCACCCGCTCCCCAGCTCTCCTCACCAGGACATCTGTCCCTGTGGAGTGTCTGTCTGTCCGTCCCTCCCTCTCTGAACCTGCTTCCTCGGTGCTCCCTGCTCCTCGCCCCAGGGAGCCCACTCCCCCTCCTTGCAGCTCCCTCCCATCTCACTCAAGGTTCTCTGAAGACATTGAAGTGGTGGGTTCACCCTGGATGACCTTGGCCTGGTCTCTGCTGGGGAAGATGTGACCTCGGGCCCCTGGGTGGAGACCAGAGGGAGTCAGGGAGGCCCCCTAACCCCAGCACACACACACTGCTGCTACCCAGCCCGAGAGGACCCATGGAGGATGCCCAACGCTCTGTGGACTCCCCGAGGAGCCACACTTGGGGACCCGGCTTTATGAGCTGTGGCTCAGCCAAGCAGGAGACTAGGGCTTGAGCGACACAGGGTCCTGCTTGTCCATGAGGACCAGCATCACAGACCTGGTGGGAGCCCCTCTTTCCCTGGCATCTCCCTGGTAAGAAGTGGAGCATGAGGAGGAGCCCAAGGGACCCGAGCCTGCAGTGCCCATGTGGCTGTGGGAAACTCATTCTGGACCAGTGCAGGTGGGGAGGTCACGTCCCAGGCCAGCACCCCTGCAGCTGAGACGAGGGATGGACAGCAGCTCTGGGAACCAGCTTTATTTTTCTCAGGAGCCTCTCACTGGGAATCAGACAACCCCAGAGAGCATCTGTGCCTGCCCTTGGTGACAGCATACCCCAACCTTGTCATTCATTAATGTGATAGTCAGTCACTGAGCACCTGCCAGATACTGGTTTTCTGGCATCTCACGCTCTGAGCTCTGTCCAAGGTGGGATGTGCTTTTCAATCAGGAGCCATCGTTTCTTCCAGGATGAGCCATCCTCTTCCGGGCTAGGTTAGAGCTGCCTCTTATGCCAAGGAAATGGAGCTGGGCTGGAGGGAGGCGTGGGTGGTGATGGGGAAAGACAGCAGGGTCTCGGCCCAACCTCAGCACCAGGGCGGCCGGGGTGCTGTGGGCATCTTGCTGGGTCGGCTCATTGTGGGGCTGGTGGATTTGTCAGGTTGGAAATTGCTTTCTTCATCTAGAACAGAGCAAGAGGGTGGGGGTTGGGGGGATGTAGAGGAGGTTGAGAGGGGGGCTCCAGCATTTTTAGTTCCCCTAAGGATTGTTTCTGGGCTGAATAGCAGAGCCCGTGCCACCCCACTGCACAGATGGGATCATCAAGGCTCAGAGAGGGGCAGGCTGGCCACTGGCCAGAAAACAAGATAGGGAGGGCTAGGCCCAGTGGCCAGCCTAGGCCAGGAAGAGGGGCTCATCAGTATCCTCTGAACCCCCCAGGTTTGGATGGGAGCATGCTGGTGTCCCCCCACCTCCCCAGCCTTCTCAGTATGGGTCCCCTGCTTTGCTCTGCCCTGGAGACCCTGGTACCTCTACCCAGGACACGCAGCCCACAGCTCTGCCCCGCGATGTCACAAAGAGGGACTGAAGGTTCAACAGCTCAAAGAGGTTGTGTGCCTGGAGGAGGGATTGTTAGGAAATGCTGGAGGGTAGAAGGCGTCCAGCCCGCCTTCTGGCCACCTTCCTGCCCACGCCTCTGAGCCAGGAAGAGGGGCCGGGCTTGATGTGGGTGGGAGACCAGAGACCCAGGTCTGCAATGTCCAGTGTGGCCACTGGGGGATGCCAGAGTCCAAGCAAGAGGCTGGGTGGGCAGCAGGTGGGCAGGACCCAATATCCAGCACCCTCCAGCAGCACAGAGTGGGCAGTGCCATCTCCAGGTCCCCTGCCAGCCTCTGCCCCTCCCCCGCCCATGTCTCAGGCTCTGTCCCGAGTGGCTATGTCATTTGTCCAAGATCACACGTGTGCCTTGTTGCAACTCCATTGTCTCCACGTGGAGACTTGCCTTTGCCAAGCGTCCACTTCCCTTCTCCCTGCGTCATCCCCACAGCTCTGGCAGTGAGGTGACTACAGGGCGGGACCTGCCCTGCCTGGTGTGTTGATGCTGGCACAGGCCCAGGAGGGGCAGGGAGCAGCACAAGGCAGGTGGGCGAGGCGGGGGTGGGAGGGGAGGCTGGAGCCTGAGCTCCTCAGCAGCTCTTGCCCCTCCCCAGGGGCCTCACATGTCGCACTCCCCAATACTTGTTACCTGGTGCAGGGAGGTCTCTGGGAATAGCGTCAGGGTCACTGGTTCCGTGGGGCAGCCCCTAGCCAAGATGTCCTGGAGACCCTGCTGGGGTGGAGAAGGGTTATGGGTGCAGGGCCGGCCTCCCCCCACACCGCCCCGCCAGGCTGCCTCTCTCAGACCAACTCTCCCTCAGGAGATCTGCAGGTCCATCCCCTCCCAGCCCTGCTGACCAACCCCCACCCCATCCCCACACCCCTCAGGAGTACCCACCTGATGTCCTGGAGCCCAGGAAGAAGACTCAACCTGGAGGGCCTGCACCAGCTGGGGCCTTCGCACGATGCCCACCAGGATCTGGGACTCTGGCAGGTGGAGAGGGAGAGGGAGGGAGGCGTGTTACAAAGAACCAGGCCTGAGGGCAAAGCTTCTGGAAGTCCTCATGCTCCTACCCCAGCAGCTGCCCAGAGGCTGCCTTACAAGCACCCGGCCGTCTCTCTTTAGACAAGTCAATCACCCCAAGGGAGGAAGGCCATGATCTCCATTTTACTGATGAGGAAACTGAGGCTCAGGCAAAGTGACTTGCCGAAGGTCACATGGTTGGTTGCTAAGCCACAGAGCCTGGATGCAGATCCTGTCTGCCTGGCAGGTCCAAGCAGGAGGCAGAGGGCATCCCCCACCCCCCGACTTCCTCCCCCATCTGGCTGGCACCTGTGCTCTCCACCAGGGGATACTCGGCTGCGTCTGTGGAGGTCACGACCTCGACCACCTCCTCCAGCGGCATGTCCTTGGCCAGCGTGGTGACGCTGTGGTTCATGAAGTGTTCCACCCTCACACAGTGGGAGCTGCGGGCAGAGGGGCTCCCATCAGGTCCCAGAGTCAGGGATGTCAGACCCAGGCCGGGCAGGGGGATGTGGTGGGAGCTTTGCTAGAACCAGAGACCCACGGCTCTGGAGTGTGGGCAGGGCTGGAGAGGTTCCTGGAATGAGGGACGCCTAGAACCTATTGTGGTAACCAGGGGACCACGTCCCTCATGGCCCAATTCTGAATCTCCAGTCCCTGGGTCCCCATGTGCCCCAGACCAGCTCCACTTGGATCTGTTTTACCCAGCAGCCTTCTCTGGAGTATTCCATTTGATTAAAAAGTATATGTCACCCCCCAAGGAAAAACTTGAAAGTTTGAAAACCACTGGGATAAACAGCCCCATTTTACAGATGGGAAAACAGGTTCGGAGCAAGGCAGCAGCTTGCGTGTGCTCTGAGTGTCCCTCAGACCCAGGGACTCTCAGAGCCTCTTCGGTCTGCTTCTCTGGTGCCAGAAGCCGCTCTGGTACCATCTGGTTGAGCGGGGACCTTAAAGTCCACTTCCATCCTCGCTCTACCTCCTGCTCCCAAAGTCCCAGCGAGGATGCAGGAGTGGGGAGAGGGGCAGAGAACTCTGGAATCTGGTGCTGACTCTCCATGTCACCTGGAGCAGGACACGGCCCCTCTCTGAGCCCCGGTTTCCTCACCCTGCATACAGGGCAATATTCATCCCCCTGCTGTGAAGACCAGCTGACCGCTAGACAGACACAGAGGCCTGAAGGTCAAGGCCTTGCCCAAGGTCACCCGGGGGCACTAGGGAGAGTGGAGACCAGAGCACAGCTGTGTGTCAGCCCCTCCCAGCCCCCACGTCCAAGGTCAGTTGCAGTGGCATTTCTTTTTGGAGATGCCCTCCACACCCAGCCAAGCCCAAACACTGTGACTCCCTTCAGCCAGCCTGAGGCGGGCGCTGCTCACCCAATGTTGCGGCCGAGGATCCGTGGCAGGTATGGTAGCTTCTTAATGAGAATGGTGCCTTCATAGAAGGAGGGCTGGCAGCTCTGTGCAATGGCGTTGGCTGCCAGCACCGCCATCAGCACCGGCAGCGCATGCACTATCTGGCCAGTCAGCTCAAAGGCCAGCAGGGCCGTGGAGATGGTGTGGGTCACAGCCCCTGAGAAGGCCGCAGCCCCTGCGGGGGCAGAGTCAGGCAGCATGGCTCAGGCCAGGAGTCAGGGGGCCAGCGGTCAGGAGCCAGCCTCATGTGAAGGCATAACTAGCCTGGCTGCAGCCAGGGACTAAGGTGGCATTTGTAAGAGGCCACAGCCTGGGCACTGTGGGAATTGCCCCAAGGCCCAGGCTTAGTGAGAAGAGAGGTATAAGGGAGGCCACAGAGCTGGTGATGGGACAGAAGCCATGAGGGAGCAACGGAGCTCAGGGAATGGTGGGGCTCAGGAGGGACAAGCCCCGCAATGCAGGGCTCGGTGGCTGCTCTGGCCCTGGGGAACCACTGGCCGATTCTCCAGGTCCAGTCCAGTCCCACGACATTGCCCATCCAGCAGGGCCCTGCCCCACTCACCTGCCAGGGCATACCCTCCCGGCATGATGGGATTGGTGATCCCTCCAGCCACGATGCCTTCAGGGAAGGTGACAGCAAGAGCCTCTCCCAAGAGGCGCCCGATGGCAGCTCCTGACCAGACTTAGGGTGAGGGGGAGCCAGGCTGACCCGGCCCCCACAGCCCTCCATCCCTGAGGACCATCCTCAGTACCACCCCAGAAGAGGGTGAACCAGGAACCATGGCCCTGCCCCAAGAACCCCGAAACTCTCAGAACCTCAGGGCCCCAGACTCACCAAGGATGAAGATGGGCATGAAGTACCCGGCAGGCATGGGGATGGTGGTGGCCAGAATCAGCATCCAGAACTGTGGGAGCGGGGAGACCAGGGCAGAGGTTAGAGGCCACTGGGCAAGGCGTGGACAAGGGAGGACAGATCAGGGGACAGGGGCACATCCTAGAGAGAAAGAGGGTGCCCGGCCATGTGCCCATTGCCAGCGTCTGGCGTTAGGGGAGGGTCCTCACCCTGAGAAATGTCCACTGTGTGCCTGGCAGTTTGCCAGGTATGTTCCTTTTTCCCTCCTCAGCCTTCCCAGTAACCACCCCATTTTAAAGATGGGAAGACTGAGTCCCAGAGAGCTGAAGCCACTTGCCCTGGACCATGTCGGGAGCAGGGGGCACATCATGAAGTATGGGTGGGAGGCCTGGGCTCCATGCCACCAACTGTGGGAAGGTACCCCCCTCCCCACCAAAGCTGATCCTGGCTCTGTGCACATGTGGGAGTCTGGGGGGCCCACCTTCATAACCAGGAAGAAGGCAAGGGTCCCAAAGATGGTGAACCTTGGGTGGTACCATTCCCACCACAGGTGCTGGGGGTCGAGCTCCTCAGGCCAGGGTGGGCTGGAGTTCCGGGTCATCAGCACCCAGGAGTGGTTGTCGAACAGTGAGTCCAGATGCTGCTGCATGGACAGCTGGGGTGGGGCAGGTGGGAACTGGATGTGAGGGGCCTGAGTGGCAGACTCCATCCACCCGTGCACCACCTGACCCCGCCTGGAATTCTCTGCCACTTCCCAGCGGGGGGCTTTGGGCAGAACTCTGAAAGCGCCCCCCACCCCCACTCAGCTATGGTCTCCTTATCTGTCAAACGATGCGCAGGGGTTGCCCTTGTGGGGTACCGAAGGGATTACGTGAGATACATGCAAAGGGGAAAACAAATGGGGGTTCCCACTCCTGCCCCTCCAACTCAGGGCCCCTTACCCGAGAAGCTAGGAAGCGGCCCACGCCAGGCGGGTAGGTGATGGAGGCGAGAACCAGGGTGGCCAGGGCGGAGTACACAGGCTTGCTGTGGGGCGTGGGTGAGCTCCAGGGCTGGCCCTCCCTTTCCCCCATCCGGTGGAGAGGGCAGCTGGGCCTCGCCCAGACAGGACAGCAGAGTTCACGCCCACTTGCCCCCCGGGGGCTGACAGCGAGACAAGGACTGGGGAGGAGGAAGGGTGGGAGCAGGGAGCATGGCCCCCTCCAGGGGGTGGAAACTGTGAGATGAGCTCCTCACTACTGGGTATGATTGGGGGCAGAGGAATCATACGGGTGATTGAGAGAATTGGGGCAGAGCAGGCTGGGAGGGAGGAGAGAGTGGACGGGACCAGAGTGGGCCACGTGCATCTCGGGGTAAGAGGGCTGGCCAATGCCAAGTCCAATGCTTTGCTGGAACCAGGGACCCAGGGGCCACACAGGGTTTGAAGGGGCACAAGGTTTGAGGCTCAGTGAGGGAGTGGGGGTTTGCTGAGCCAGTTAGACTGAAGGAGGGATGGGGGTTCAATGGGGGGTTCGTAGCACAGTAAGGAAGGGGGGACAGTGACTGTGGGGACTTGGAGATGGGGTATTAGGTGCTCCACGGGCTAGGGAGGGATTGAGGGGCTCAGTGGGAGGATAGGGGTGGGGCTTTCTCATAAGTTTGGGAGCCCATACGGGACTCGCTGAGAGGTCCTCAGCCCCTATCTTGGAGCCTACCTGGTGGCCAGCAGTTTTGAGCTGAACCTATTGGTCCTGATGAAGTGGAGGAAGGTTCGCTGACAGAAGAGGTAAACGCAGCTCAGGACACCGCAGATACCACTGGGGGGTGGAGGGAGGTAAGAGCAGAGCCCGACCCCAGTACCAGGGGCCACAGTCCAGGCTTGAGGCAGGCGGGGCAGAAGGACACACGCTCACCCCAGTGCCACAAAAAAGAAGATCTCTGGCAGGTCGAAGGGGACTTCCACCCGGAAACTGGTCTTGAAGAGGGAGGTGATGGTCTCTGGGGAAGGAGGGCAGTGGGGAGCCTAGATGGCGCTCCAATCCCACCCAAACCCAAGTCCCAGGATAACAGGCCAGGGTGGAGGGGTGCCAGGTCCTGACCCTGAATCTGTTTCCTGGCATTCTAGGCCCCCACAATCAGGCTCCTGCCTCCCTGTCCAGCCTCGCCCCCTTCTACCCTCAGGGCCCTGCCCTTCATGCCCGACACGGGTCAGCCCCTCCATCTTCCCAGAAGGAGGTGGAAACAGGGAGGAGGGAAACGGGAGAGAAAGAAGGAAGGGAAGAACAAGGGGTGTGCACAGAGGAAAAGGGAAGCCCCCTCCACCCAGCCCTGAGGCAGGGCCAGGGTCAGGCAGCCCAGGGAGCTCACCCTGCTCGCTGTTGAAGACCGCCAGGAGTCGGAACATGAAGGCCCCGCAGGTGGCTGCAAAGAAGCCCCTCCAGTAATCCCAGACAGAGAAGTGGGAAGACATGACCTCGATGCTGAACAGGACGCCTGGGGGCAACACTGATCTCAGGTGGGCTCCCCACCCCCACCCACCTGAGGCTGTAGAGCCCCCTCCGCATGTCACCTCCTCCCTGACCCATCTGTCCTGCTCCCCTGCAGCCTGGACAGGGACAGACAGGAGGGGAGGGCAGGACATGCGCCCTGGGTGGGGAGGACCCCGCTGCCCAGGGACCCGTCCAGCCTGGAATGCAGGTGTGCGCCCTCTCACTACCAGGCGGGGACGGTTACGATTCCCATTTTACAGAGGAGGAAGCCGGCTCAGAGAGGCCAACGGGCCAGGATCACACGTGGATTTCAAACCCACGTCTCTCTAATGTCACCCTGAAGCCTCTCAGCACCGCCCAATCACGTCCCCTCCCCCCCCCCAACCCCCACGTCCCTGGGGGTGGCTGTCCCCAAGGCAGGGCTGAAGTAAGAACTGGAATGAGCCCCGCCCCCTCCTCCAGGCTCTCTGCGGGACTGAGGGAGCCCAGGGTGTGAGGGGAGGAGCGTGAGGGACCCAGGGGGCGGGGCACGAGGGGTCTCACCGCTGAACGGAGCTGCGAAGACTGTGGCCACGCCCACTGCCGCCGCGGCCGCCAGCATTTCGGTTTGCTTGCTCTTGTTCTAGCGGGATCCGAGTCCAGGGCTCAGCGTCAGCCCCTCGCTCCCCACACCCATTCCTCCGAGGAAGCTCCCCAGCCCCTAACCTCAGGCTCCCCGCTGATCGCTGTGCGCACACGGCCCAGATAGGCCGCCATCATCACAGACAGGTGCACGAAGGGACCCTGCAGAGGGAGGGGTGAGCCCAGGGCCCAGGTGAGGGCAGCAGAAGAGCCTCACCCAGAGGCCACCGCAAGGCTTCCCCACCACGCCCTCTCCTCCATCTCCCCAACCCCCAGGGCTGTCCTCAGGTGGCTTTTGTCACGCTCTGGGGACCTGGCCTGCCTCTTCCCCCAAGACTGAGCTCCCTGAAGGCAGGGCCCAGCCCAAGTCCCTCTGATCCAGCTTTGGTGGTGATGGGGGAGAGGATAGGTTCAGGGTGGGGTGGGCGGGGTGGTTGGGGTGCCCTCATGCCTGCCCATACCACTTTGCCCAGGAAGACAGTGCTGCCACAGGCCAGGGTGCAGCAGAGGCCCACCACCTTGGCCCCAAAGTTCTTAATATCCAGGTAGTCCTCCAGGATCACACCCGACAAGATGGTCTTCAGCTCTGGAATTCCAGAACCTTAGCGGAAGGAGGACAGGAATGAGACGGGGACAATCTCTAGATTAAAACTCTCAACACTCTACCCACACGGTGTTTTCACGTGATGATATTTTTTTTTCCTTTGAGGCGGGGTATCACTCTGTCGTTTAGGCAGGAATGCAGTGGTTTGATCTCAGCCGATTGCATCCCTGACCTCTTCGGGCTCAAAAGTGATCCTCGGGGGCCGGGCGCGGTGGCTCAAGCCTGTAATCCCAGCACTTTGGGAGGCCGAGGCAGGTGGATCACGAGGTCGAGAGATCGAGACCATCCTGGTCAACAAGGTGAAACCCCGTCTCTACTAAAAATACAAAAAATTAGCTGGGCATGGTGGCGCGTGCCTGTAATCCCAGCTACTCAGGAGGCTGAGACAGGAGAATTGCTTGAACCCAGGAGGCGGAGGTTGCGGTGAGCCGAGATCGCGCCATTGCACTCCAGCCTGGGTAACAAGAGCGAAACTCCGTCTCCAAAAAAAAAAAAAAAAAAAAAAAAGTGATCCTCCTATCTCAGCCTCTCAAGTAGCTGGGACTACAAGGCGGGCACTACGAATCCTGGCTAACTCTTTGTTGTTGTGGTTTTTTATTATTTGTAGAGATGGGGTTTCACTATGTTGTCCAAGGTGGTCTTGAACTCCTGGAATCAAGCAATCCACTCACCCCGCTAAATGCTGGGATTATAGACTGAGTCACGATGCCTGGCCCTATTATGATCACGCCAGATCCGCAGAACCCTCTGAGGTTAGGATGCATAAACTCATTTTGCAGAGGTGGACGCTGAGAGGCAGAGAGGGAATGCGAATTGTGTCTGTTCCTTCTGGTGGGCCTGGCAGATGGTGTGGCAGGGTGGGGAGCCCTGAACAGAACCTCAGGCCACCACTGAGTGAGCCTGGAGCTCCCCTCTGCTGGCCTGCAGCTGGAGACAGGGCTGAGCGCCCTGCGGGAGCTGTGCCTCCTCCACAGGCCCCTCAAGACACCAGCACAGGCCCCACAGGGGAATCTCTTTCCAAGGAGCCCTTGGAAAGTGGGTAGGGCCAGCAGTGACCCAAGAATCAAGATCTGGCCTTCTTGCTGTGTGCTTTTGGACAAGCCACACGACCCTTTCTTCTGGGCCTTCGTCTGTAAAATGAGGCTGCCGCTTCCCGACTCCCCCCATCAGAAGCCCCCTGGGATCTGAGAAGGTTTTGGCCAGTGGGGACTGGCATGGTGACCGTGTACTCACCTCCAGAGGAGGGCGTGATGCTCTGGGAGAAGCCCGAGGAGAAAGAGACGAGGGCCACAGGGTACACGGTCCAGGAGAGATACCGGAGCAGGTGACCGTCCCCAATCTCCCGGTACAGCCACTGGTGTGCTGGGGACAGCTGGGTATCAGGAGGCCACCCACAGCCTCTGCAGCCCTCGGGACCAACACTGTGGTGCCCACTTACTGACCAGGAAATGGAGGCACAGAGAGGGGAGGACCAGGACACCTAGTGAGGGGCAGACCCCCGAGAGGAGGCAGGAGTACAACCCTGGGTCCGTATCCCGGGTTTACCACTTCCTAGCTGAGTGACCTTGGGCAACCACTCAAGCTCTCTGAGCCTCAGTTTCCCCATCTGTCCAGTGGGCTAGTGTTGGGCTCTCTCTCACAGGCTCACTGTAGACTAAAGAGAGCCACTGAGAACTAAATGACACAGGTGTGAAGCTCCAACCACCACAGTAGGTCCTGCTTCAGGCAGCCGAGGGCGTCTCCAGAGCAAGCGTCTTAGACCCTTCCTGCCCACACCCACTCTTCCAGGCAGGCCTCAGGGTGGAGGCAGGCTGCTGAGGAATGGGGGGGAAGGCTCCAGGTTTGGTGATCTAGGCAAGTCCCCCCACTCCTGCCCCAGGGCACAGAGGAGGGAAGGAGAAGGAATGGGGTGGCTGGAAGAGGAGACAGAGAGCTCAGAGGAGGAAGGGCTGTGGGGAACATTCAGGCCTCTCTCCCTTGTGCAAATGAGATGACTGAGGCCCAGAGAGGGGCAGGAGTCTGCCCAGGGTCACACAGCAAGTCAGGAGTGGAACCAGAGCCCTCCCCCGACCCAGATCCCTGCCTGCACCGCTGCACCTGGTGGCCCATCTGGCATCCTCAGAGCGAGCTCAGAACTCCTTGGTCCAGAGCAGCACCTGCCAGGGAGGACTCACCTCGGACCACACGCCCGATGGCAAAGTTCATGGCGTAGCTGACCAGGGCCATGAGCACCCCAAGGGCCATCAGGAAGTACCAGTCCTCGCCCAGGCGGAACAGCTTCTGCTTCAGCCACTCCAGGCCTCCTGGGGCAGGCAGGGCATAGGGGTCCTGGCTTATGTTGGGAAAGGGGTCACAGACAGCCCCCTCCCTGGAGGCCTGCTTGGTTCCAGGTAGGGAGGACCCTGGTAGTGGAGTCTGGGGTAGTCCTGAGGGGGTCCTGCCTCACACTAGGGGCTGGGCGGGATTTGTGGTGGGTGACAGTGGCAGCGCAGTGGGTACCAGGCCTGTTGCCCCTGCCAGAGGCCTTTGACCTGTCCACCCTCCATACTGGGGGCCCCTGGTGGACAGGGAGTGCGGAGGGGGCTGGCAGCTACGCTTTCACCCGCATCCCTGCAGGGTCCGTAGCTTAGAGAGCACCAGGGTCCAGCAGACTCCTGCGTGTCCCAGGACCTGTGGCACCAGGTATCCTCTGGGGCCCCAGCAATGCCCCTGGCCCACTGGCTGCCAGTCCAGCCTGGGAGCTGGCCATCACTGACTGTGGGCACCAGCCCCTGGGGCTGCAACTTAGCTTCCTTCTGAGGTCCCTGCCTGCTCTGCCCCATAGCTGAGGGGCTCTGAGCAAAGGTGCCAAGTGGAGGCTGCCCCACCCCTTGCTGTACCCCAGCTGTCCCAGCAGCTGACCCTTGGGGCCCCTCATTGGCACAGGTCGGTGAAGGAGAGGCCTGGAAGGAGGGTGGGCACAGTGACCAGGCCTCAGGCTGTATCTCTCAAAAGGCGGAGGGCAGATGCCAGGCCCATCTGACCCACAGACAGCTGAACAGACAGACCCCTTCCCTCCCTACACCCAGGAGACTCTCGGCCGTGATGTCCTGGACAAAGGCCAGGAGGAGGGTGGCTCCTGGGCAGGGAGGTGGCGTGGGAGCTGGGCAGGGGCATGTCCTGAGGGGTCCGCCACGGGGAGGGGAAGGGAACCTGGATCTCACCGCGGATGCCTCGGCGGATGCGGGGACATGGGCCCCATAGCTCCCACAGAGTTACAGGGTCCCCTGAGGAGCCCTCGCGCAGCCCCACCAGTTCCTCCATCAGGTCCTGGGGAAGCAGATAGAGGCAGGGACCCGGGTGAGCCGCTCTGGATAGAGGCAGGGACCCGGGTGAGCCGCTCTGGATAGAGGCAGGGACCCGGGTGAGCCGCTCTGGATAGAGGCAGGGACCCGGGTGAGCCGCTCTGGATAGAGGCAGGGACCCGGGTGAGCCGCTCTGGATAGAGGCAGGGACCCGGGTGAGCCGCTCTGGATAGAGGCAGGGACCCGGGTGAGCCGCTCTGGATAGAGGCAGGGACCCGGGTGAGCCGCTCTGGATAGAGGCAGGGACCCGGGTGAGCCGCTCTGGATAGAGGCAGGGACCCGGGTGAGCCGCTCTGGATAGAGGCAGGGACCCGGGTGAGCCGCTCTGGATAGAGGCAGGGACCCGGGTGAGCTGCTCTGGATAGAGGCAGGGACCCCAGTGAGCTGCTCTGGATAGAGGAAGAGACCCGGGTAAGCTGCCCCACATCCTCTGGCTGCCTCTCAGCCCTTCCGGGGCTCTCCCTCCCAAATGAAGAGGAAGGATTGGGCTTTCGCGGGTGTGTGTGTGTGTGTGTGTGTGTGTGTGATCACACTAGGTCTGCGTGTGCCCTCATCCCTCAGGTTCTGTCACTGAGGGTGTGCCCCTGTGTGTGTCATTGTGTGGGATGGGGGTGGGATTCCTAGGTGTCCCCCGTGTCCAGCAGCCGAGTGGGCACAGGCTGGAGCCCAAGCCCTGCTCAGAGCCTTCCCCTTCTGTGGCCACCGCTCGCACCCTTCTGGATCGTTTGGCGCTTCCACTGCTGGGAGCAGTATCTAGCCAGGGCTGTGACTCTTTCACTGCAGAGTCCCAGGGATGGCTCTGAATCTCCCTGCTCATCTCGGAGCACGTTCCTCTCTCCCCAGTAGCTCAGGCCACAGAGGCAGGAAAGCCCCAGGTCCAGAAGGAGACTGCTGCAGAGCCAAAGTGAGATACTAGCTCCTGCCCCTACCATCCCCTCTGCCCTGCCTGCCTGGTGCTGCCAAGTCCATACCCCAGTTCATGCCCAGAGTCCCCTTACCTCTCAGTCCTCCTGCTGTGGCCGAACTGGCCCTCCCGTCACAGAGCCTCCTTTGCTCTCAGCTGCAGCGCACCTAGACAGGTGTATGCTCTATGCTCCACCAATCATCCTCCTCTCCCCGCCCCACTACCACCTGGGGTTTACTGTGGAGATTTAAAATGTCCTTGACAAACCAACCTGAACTGTGCAGCCCAGAGCCATGCAGGGCAGAGCGGCCAAGAGAGCGGGCAGCAGCTTCCCCACCCACCAGAACCACACAGAGGGTGGTGCCCGGCTGCACTCAGGCTCCCTGGGGTGTTGCTGGGCAGGGGCCGGGGAAGGGGAGCTCACACACACAGCAGAACAGCGAGGGGCCATCTGCCCGAGCTGAGGCTCAAGGCCCAGGGGACTCAGAGCTGGACATGGAAGGTTTGGAAAAGCACAGAGGGAGATGGAGGAGGCTGGGCAGGGAAGGCGAGGACAGGCTGGCAAAGGTGAGTGGGGCAGCACGATGGCACCCTCCCTGTGTGCCAGGCACACAGCCTTCCCCAGATTAATCACCGTAAGTGCCCACGGAAACCCCATGAGGCAGGCAGGGTGATCCCGTTGTAAAGAAGTGGCGTCTCAGGGAGGCGAGGCTGCCTGTCCAAGATCAGAGGCCGAGACCGAGTCAGAACTCCCAGCCAGGGTTTGCCTGGTTCCAAAGCCTACAGGCTGTGCCGCACAGTCCCGTCCTGCTAACCCATCTTGTCCAGGGCTGGCGAGGAGGCCAACACCTGGGGCAAGGCGGTGAATTGGGGTGAGGCACTTGAACTTGATCCTGGTGTCCAGACCCTCCAGGCTCAGGAAATGCCTGTCAAAGCACACGTCCAGGGGGCAGCAGCTCTGGCTGGGGACTTCCGGGTAATTCCACAGACTGTCCCGCTCCAACAGAGGACAGGAGCGCAGGAGTGAGGGAACCTGGTGAGGAGCAAGCAGGTGTTGCGTGCCTGCTACGTGCACGAGCTTCACGTCCGCAGCTCAAGTCCCCCTCCACACACTCTGTGAATGGTGAGAGCATTGCCATTTTGTAGATGTTCAGAGAGGTGAGTCACTCATCCAGGGTCACAGAGCTGAGGCTGAACCCAGCCCTCCACTGTGCAGCTCTCCCTCTGCCCCAAGCTTCTCCAGCTCCTGAGGCTCAACCCAGGCAACGGCTTGGGTACACAGCAGAAGAGTTGAGTCTGATGCCACTTTTGGGCAAGAGGTCGGTCCTGTAACGATTGCTAAAATCTGGGACGCTGGGCTACCCTTTGTCCCTAGATGCCAGGCAAGTCAGATCAAAATAGAAGGTGTGTGTTGTGGGAGGTGGGACGGGGCTTGCTGCTCTGCGTGGTCCTAAGCCCATCTTCACCTTGGCCACCCCGACCTGTCGACTCTGCACAGCACCAGAACTGGCTGCCCTTTTGACATCCTGATCCCCAGTGTCTGGTCTAGGGCAGCGGCTGGCTACTCTCCCACAGCTGGCATTGCAAGTCCACATCCACCCTCACCCCCCAGCCCTGGGAGCCCCAGGAGGCTGAGAAGAGGGCAGCCAGGGGGCTCAGCAGGATGAAAGTAGGTTTGAAGCCAGCACAGCTCTGCTATGCCTAACTCCTTCATCAACTTGAACCTCAGTTTCCTCTTCTGTCTGATGAGGTGAGCCTGGAGGCAGGGGCCTGTCTCTGCCTTATTCATCCGAGTCCTTCAGAGCCTAGTACAGTGCCCAGCACCTATTTATAGCAGGGTTTCAATAAATACCTGCTGAGTGATGAGGGCTTCATCACCGGCCCATGAGCTGGCTGTGTGGGGAGCTGATGGGAAGTCATGGGAGGTCCCTTCTCCAGATCCCAAATCAAAATCCTGGGGTCAGAGGAAAGGATCTGTGTTTGGGAAAAGCTTCCCTGGGTAATCGGGATTCAAAGGACTGTATCATCTTTTTAGCTCCTTCTGTCCCTGTGATCTGAAGATAGAGGCAGGGGAATGGCCTTGATGACCTTTTGAGGTCCCTCCGGGCCAGTGAAGCCAGAGGATCCAGTATTTGTGTGGGCAATGCCCTGGGAAGCGGAATGGTGGGCGGGGGTGGGTAATGGGATCTGACATCCAGGGGCAGTGACTCAGGCCCTCAGCACCATGACAGTGTGTCTGCATTTAGCCACTGGCTCCTGTTTCCCTGGCGTCCGGCAGGCTCTGGGCCCCCCACCCTGCCCCACCCTCTCTCCATCTCACCTCAGTGCTGGTGGCTTCCCAGTGGCCCTAGAAACCCCTCAGCCAGGCTGGGTGTCACAGGCTACCACATGGGCAGGAAACTGCCGGGACAACAGGCACCAGCCTGGCCCCCACTGTGCCCTTTGCCCTGCTCTGCTTCCACTCCACGTACCTCCGGCACCGCTAACACCACCGTAGATCGAGCCCTCTGGGATGAAGTGCCAGACTGGGTTGTAGGAGGCTCAGATAAAAGAGAAACAGTCCCTGTCTTCGGGAACCTTCCATCTAATAGGGAGACAGGTGAATCCTTGCCCCCGTGGGAACTGCCAGTTGGATAAGGAAGAAGGGACACAGCAGAGAGTCACAGCACACAGAAAGACCATGTCACACTGCCAGGTGCTGTGGGTGGACAAAGACAGTCAGTGTTGGGGGCATCTGGACAACGTGTGGGGCTGTATGACCAGGAGCAATCAGAGAGGCCTCTCTGGGGGAGGAGGGATGAGAGCTGATCTGGGATGGAAGGGGGGGATTTAGAGAGGACAGCAGAGGCCCCGAACTGCAACCTGGGCAGAGCAGAGGGCCTGGCTGCCTCTTGCAATGGCCTCCACCCTGGCCCAGTGCAAGGTCAGTTTCAGCTCTGCTGAGCAAGCAGGTGAGTAGGGAGGGGCTTCTCCGGCTCTTCTGGGCCAGCCTGTCTCCACAGGCATATGTTCAAAAGCACCTCGGCCTCCGAAGGGCTTTGGGTCCACATCTAGGTTCGAATCCCAGCTCTGCTCCTTACGCAAGTGCAAGCCCCTCCCTTTCCAAGAGGCTTCATTTCCCCGTCCCATAAAATGGGAAGAACGCCTCACCTCCACCCTCCCGGCTGCGTGGGGATCAAACGGGGCCACACTGGACAGCTTGTGGCCAGAAGCCTGTGCCCAGAAGTCACTCCAGAAGTCAGGACTAGAATGATAGTTGTCTGGAATTATTTTACCTCTGACTGAAATCCCTAAAGCAGCCCCAGGGGTCCCCTCTGACACGGAGCTGCAGCGGACAGTTCCCGGGAACATAACCCTCTAGACCTTTAAGGAGGAAGCTGCCAGCTTTCTCCTCTTGGGGCCCCTAAATGCTCTGAGAGTCAGGGGGAGTGCAGGCAGGGGATCCAGGTCCCCGTGGGGGCTGGCAGGGGACAGCTGCACATCCTACTCCCCCTGCCAGGGTTCAGCCTTCCTTAGACATAGGCTGGGAAGGTTGTCTGCCTTGAGGGAAGGAGCTCCTGACATCACACAGCCATGGTACTTCCACCTACCCTGTTCCCAAGGAGCCCACAGTCTGATGAGAGAGGCATGGCCGTGGCGGAGAACCACAGTCTGAGGGGGGAGGCACAGTCCTTACAGAGCCCCCCAGGCTGATGGGGCAAACAACACACAAGAAACCTCAAACCTGCAAGGTTCTGGGGCAGGCACCGAGGTCCAAGTGTCAAGGGGGCAGAACCCAGGCCTGTGTTTGGGAAAGGCGGTGTGGAGGCCCCTGGGGCTGCTGTGATCGGCCTGGAATGCCAGGCTGTGAGCTCAGCCTCTTGGCCTGCGTGTGTCAGGCTGTCAGCAGGCCGGCGCACGGGAGAAGGTTTCCAGCCCCCTCTGGGCCATGGAGAGGCCTAAATTTAGCTAGTAGACAAGGGGCTGGCCCCGAGCCCAGGGACAGTCGGCCTTATAAAGCGGCCACCGCCGGGGCCCAGGCACGCTCCCCCGGAGGCCTGTGCCCACACCCTCTCCTGTCCAGTCCCTGCCCGCCTGGACAGGGCCCGGCGCCGCCCGTGGATGAGCCACAGGACCTCTTCCACCTTCCGAGCGGAGAGAAGTTTCCATTCCTCCTCCTCTTCCTCCTCTTCCTCCACCTCCTCCTCGGCCTCCCGTGCCCTCCCGGCCCAGGACCCACCCATGGAGAAGGCCCTGAGCATGTTTTCCGATGACTTTGGCAGCTTCATGCGTCCCCATTCGGAGCCCCTGGCCTTCCCAGGCAAGTGCTCGAGGCTCTGAGGGGAGGGGAGGTGCAGAGGGAGGTGACGTCCACTCCAGGGCGCCACCGAATGCACTGTGGCTGCCGGGCTGCCTGGAACAGGTGCCACACAGCCCGCAGCCATGTGTGGCTGCCAAGACAGAGGTGTCCACAGGGACAGATGTGGCCATGAAAACAGGTGGGCCTCTAAGGAACAGTGGTGGCCCTGGGGATCAGACATGGTTCCGTGGCCACCATGGTCTGTAAATGCATCCAATCCCAGCTGAAGCCTTGGAGGGCTGGATGGGGTGAGGGGTGGGAGGCAGCCCCCAGGCTCCAGGCGCGGGGTGGGGTGTTACAGACCTAGCATCACACATACACACACCACACCTGTGGGTGAGCTGCAAGAAGGCGGAGGAGCTTAAGGAGAAACACCCGGGGGGTGGGTAGGGCCTGGGGAGCCACCCATTGCCCTAAGAGAAGGAGCCAGAACCCTGGGGTCAGCACGCCAGGCCTGCTCTGTGCCTCGCTCACAGTAGCCCATCCCACAGCCTGCCCTGGGGGACCAGGCAACATCAAGACCCTCGGAGACGCCTATGAGTTTGCAGTGGACGTGAGGGACTTCTCACCTGAAGACATCATCGTCACCACCTCCAACAACCACATTGAGGTGCGGGCTGAGAAGGTGAGCCCCCCCAACACCACCCACTGCACCCCAAATTCTGCTCTTGCCTCCAGCGTCCCCTACTCCCCCTTTCCATCCGGGGACCCCAGACCCTGGCCAATGTCCCTTCCCCATGCCCCGCCAGGGCTAACTGAAGGCCTTGCCTCTGCAGCCCATGGCTCTGGGGATCCTCACTGCCCCTCTTTGCATCGAGGTTCCCAGACCATTTCTTCCAGGGCCCTGGGCAGCTGAGGGAGCCTACGGGGAATGGGAGAGGGTTGGAAGGGTGTGGGCAGAGGGAGCCTGAGGGGGTGGGGCTTGAGGGCGGGAGATGAGGAGCGAGAGATGGTGATGGCAGAGTGAAGACAGCTCCTCTGGCAGCCATAGAGGGTGGATGCGGGTAGGCGGGGAACTCACCTGGGCAGCCGGGGGGAGTCTCTCCATGTGACACATCTCAAGCCCTCTTCCATTCCACAGCCAGAGAAACCCATCCCCCATCTTGGAAATTCGGCCCGAGGTTGGACAGCTTAGGGTGTCCAGTCCACCTGGGGTCTAGGGGTATAGGGGCTGGAACCTGGGCTGAGATGCCTGCATTCCCCAGGCATCCCAGATTCTGAGCTATTGCCATGGAGCCGCTTCTTCCAAGCCCCACCCCCTCCCCATGCCCCATGCTGCCCTTTGGAGCTACTGGAGATCCACGAAGCACCCTGCCCTGTCCCTGCAAAGTCCTCGGCCTATGGCCATCACCACCATGCAGTTTAGGGTCACACACACTCTAAACCACACACACCCTCTGCCCTCGGATCTCAGGGTCACGGGTCTCTAGAGTGTCTGCGTCTGAACTTCCAGGAGGCACTGGGGCCTCCGCCCTGGAGAGGGTGTGGCCAGGCCTGAACAGGGGCGCCCCCTGGGACAGCCAGGGCTGCCAGGAGAGAAGAGAGGACCTGCCCAAGGCCTCCTCCTAAGCTCCCGTGGGCTGGCTTCCTCCCCTCCGTATTCAAGGATGGACTCCTGAGCATCCCTGCCAGAGATGACAAAGACTGGGGACACCAGGACCTGAGGGCAGCACGTGCCAGCCCTGCCACCCGCAACAGTGACTCAGCCGCCCCAAACTCCCCTGGACACTATGTGCTGGCTGAGCTGTGGGGGAGAGGCAGGCGCTCAGTCTTGGCGGGCAGACGCCCAACGAGTCTGGAGATCCAGGAAGGCACGGCTGTCCTCTGTCATCTCTGCGTTCCCCAGGAGCCCCAGATTCAGAGCTACTACCACAGAGCTGCCTCCCTCTCCAAGCCCCACCCCTCCCCATGCCCCTTGCCTGTCCCTTGGAGCTACTGGAGCTCTGCGACACAGCCCTGGGCTGTCCCTGAATAGCCCTGGGCCTGAGGCCATCACCACCCTGGGCAGACCCTCCACACCTGAGGGCAGAGCCCCTGAGCATATGGGGCCTGGCCGGGGTTAGAATGGGGAGAAGAGGGCTATGGCTTGTCACAAGCAGGACAGGGGCGGGGGCAGCCTGCCTGACGGTCACCCCTTTCCCAGCTGGCAGCTGACGGCACGGTCATGAACACCTTCGCTCACAAGTGCCAGCTGCCGGAGGATGTAGACCCCACGTCAGTGACCTCGGCTCTCCGGGAGGACGGCAGCCTCACCATCCGGGCACGGCGCCACCCGCATACAGAGCACGTCCAGCAGACCTTCCGGACAGAGATCAAAATCTGAGGGCCTCTCCTTTCCCTTGCCCTGCCCCCCACCCCCACGTCTGCCAGCAAAGCCTTCCTAACCCCATTTCAACAGCTCCAGACCATCTCAGCCCAGGTTCCAGCCCCTATGCTCCCCAGGCCCCAGGTGGACCATCCTCCCGGACTAGGGCCCTCCACTCTATCCAGAGCAGGCCAG